ACTGATACCAAATATAGGTGATCGTGATAATTCATACTAAATTCCAGCTATCGCAGAGACCCAGGTTGCTACAGGAGAATGTGAGTGAGTATGGTTTTACGCCGCTTTAGCAATATTCCAGCAATATCACGGCGAGGGACAGCAGAAATGTACCCATGTGGGGAATCGTACCCGGGTCTTCAGCGTAATGAGGGGACGCTTTAATCACTAGTCTTCCCATGAGCCACACCAACAGAAGATGGTTACGATATCTTAACATAAACAATGTTTATGACGCCAATGAATGTCTCACATCTTGACCTGATAAGACATTAGCCATGTAATGATTCAACCATAACAAGGAAGCAACTTCGCTGTGCATTGTATATATGATCATGTCGCCGACATTACATGGAGAGTTGAGTGAGACGTAATAATTAATGCAATCAAGGATCCAATCTAAGACACCACGTGAATGTAGATAGACAGGTATATTTAAAATATAAATACTAATAATAGTGAAAATGTATATAGCGCTAAATCCAACCACTAAGTGGGTGCTCAAAGCGCTTCAAAATTATAATGTTTGAGTATAATAATATACTGAAGAAGGTGCAATTCAGCAGCACAGCTCGTATATGAAAAGAATCTGACATTATAATATCACAATATGAACTGTTCTCCAATATGTTCCAATTGCAAATTCAGGAAGATGTGATTATTTATAACGTCACATCATTATGCGGCCATAACGTCACTATAATATCTGGTGATTTTTGTGTGTGTAAAATAAAGAGGCATAAAGTGACGTTATACATACATCACTTCGAAGTGCTGCTTGTGTCGATTGTTTGAGATACTGTCTAAAATAGAGGATGCTGACTTGCTAGACAAGCTGGCTCCCTTCTCGGTGAGGTAAGGTTGTCCTATAAACTGTTTGCTGGTTCAAGAAAGCATACTGTCACCGGGAACAAATCTTACCACCAACAATAGTCACTATGTTGTGTTCATTGGCATTTTTAAGGACTGATTCTATTATTTACTAATCCATTCCAAATCTTTGATTGAAAACATATTTTGGGCGTTGGTCGACCCGTTAACGAAGAGTAAGGTGTTCGCTTCATGTCCGGACTGGGTCAGTGCCGGGTCTTACCTGGAACCTGCAGCCCCGTGTTGGACAGTCCGGGGGTTCATCACGTGACGGGAACAGCCAATCAAACTGAGGCCAACACAAATTGAAGTATTCGGGGTCTAAAATAACTATAAAAATTATTACTAACCATAATTTGCACGATTAAAAGTGACTGTTGTCGGATTATGAACGGACTGGATATGTGACAGTGCCAAGGTCAATAACCTGAACATCTGACAATGCTTTGGTTTTGGGTGCGTTGTCCACCTGCCATCTTGTCGTATGGGTGCATGGAGTTGGGTTCAAAATATCTCTGGATCAGACGTTTTAGCGTCTCTCCTTCAGTCGGGATCTTGGCAAGGGACAATACACATCCGATCAATCCATGATGTACATATGTCGATTCATCTGGAAGTGTGGTTTAGGGTGCGTTCTACGTCCTCCCAACAAGGAAGGTCACAGTGGTCGTGTCAGGTGGACCGATCACGCGACATTGTAAACAGAATACTGATTCGGTCTAGTCTAACACTCTGTACATATATAATATTGACAGTAACAAATAGTCCCATATAAATTGAAAGGAGCCCCAGTGAGATGGGACATTCTCTAGAAAAATCTAGACTTGCTTCATTTAGAGTTTTAGCATTGCAGAGAGGGCTAGGTAGTAAGGGACTGTGAGCCAGGCAAGGCGAGTGATCCTATTAGACTACCACTAGCCTTGCACAAGTCTTTAAGGTAAAATTGACAGTTTAAATGATAATTTCTAAAAAATACAAAATCATAGACTAGGCTCCTGTCCGTTTATCTAGACTTGCCAATTTAAAGGATTGAATTATTTATTATGCATCCATGGGCTCAGCATTCAGTACAGCCTTGAGGCAAGACTAGACAACCACCAGCACTGACAGGGAGTCATACTGGAACTATTTTCGTGCACGTGCCACATCACGTCCTGACGACAGTCGGGAACCTTCTGTAACTGTTCAATGTTTCTGCTTGATGTTCTTCTCAAATTATAATTAAATATATTCATTGCTGAATATCATGTATTAGAGAATAGCTAATTGCTTTTATGCACCGAAACACGTCTTCAAACACGTGTTTCTGCGCTACATGTGGCAGGATTTGACGGTAAACGGTCTACAGTTACGGCACGACTCAATTGCTGTCTGACGTCGTATCTTAATTGCAGAAGAAGTCGAGAGACCATAACAAACCATCATTTAGTCAAATCCACAGAATCCCTTGCACAAGCGGCCATTAACAGACGTACCTAATGATACAGGCCGAATGTCACTGTGACTGCCGTGTGTGCCAAAACCAAAAAGAGTACCTAAGACAAATCCTGTCGACCAAAGGAGATCGAATCTCCAGTAGACACATGACATTTTTTTTATCGCAAGTTTGTAATTAGAGATTTTTTTTAATTTAGTTTTTTTAATTTACATGTGAGAATCGATAAATGTTGCTAGTACAATGATATAACTAGATTTGCAGCTGCAGGCGACGGACTCTGTAAATGTCGCCCAGACCCCAAAACATGCTACAGGCATATGCTCGGCATTCAGACAGAGCCGCTTGTAGCTATGTTGCACTGTTATGGTCGACTATTCACACCCATTCAAGTACTTCTTGATTTCTCTACAGCAATACTGACCTCGTTGAGAAACTTGCATTTGCCCAGCCCACCGGGGCTATCGTCGCAGCAAATGTCTCAGTAGTAGTAGTAGTAGTAGTAGTAGTAGAATGTTACATTCTCCCACAGCATGAAATGGCACGTGTCACATATTAAATCGTATAATCCCAATCTCACGACTAGTGATGCTGATCGTGTGCTATCAGTCTCTCTATATATAAGATACTCCTCATGCCGGGTTACATGACTTATAAATGATGTTGCTGATAGCTAGCAGTGATGCATTGTAGGGCAGTGATTGAGGTACAGGGCATGTATTTCCAAGTACAGTGAATACGTTCAAGACTGATGAACACGCACTTGTTCCAAGGACACCGAAATATTGCACTGAATGTCCTAAACATGATTATACATGAGATATCCAGCAATGATAAGTTGTTGTCCTATGGGACTTTCTATCCTCATGAAAATTTCAAATTTAAACATATTAACATTATTAACATAAAAGTATACAATACATTTGCAGTTTGTGTCTCATTAAGACTCCGTGGCCCTAGTTCGCGTCAGGTAAGACTGAGTCTGGAGAATACGTTAAGTAATTCCTTGTTCTAGAAAAAGGGAACTGTAACTGCTTTGTTTCTCAAAGTGTGTAAAGTGGCTTATTCACTAGCATCCCGAGATACGATTTTATAACGTTCACAACGCTACCTCCCTTTCGAAATATATCCCCCTGAAACATCCGATTCTTTATCCCCTGCAATAACAAGAAAATAGGACAGGCGAGGATTGGAACAACCTACATCCCCAACTTCACGGTCCAATAAACCTTAGTCGCCTAGATGGGAAAAGCCTTTTTGAAAGCGTTTTAGGATATTTTCTCCAGTTCGTATTTCTATAAACTCCTTTAGGAATTTAGTAGGTTGACATTGAGCTTCCACCTAAAACACACATGTGTCTGGATCATCGTCAGTAGACGTTACTTACAAATATGGTCGCAAAGAAATTATTTCAGATAAACCCATCAATCATCCACAGTTCCTATGCGATACTGGCATAGGTTTGTACACATAAAACAAATTACATATATATTGCCCTCCAACACTTACATATCGTTGTACATCCTACAAGAACAATACGGCGGATGTACATTACAGTAATTCAACCACTTCCGATAACCACAACATATCACGGGAAAGGATTTTTTTAAAGCTGAAATACAAATGATAACAATGCTGCAGTTTAAGCAGTTTAACTATGTGTGGCCTATTATTTAAAAAAATAAAATAACACGAGCAAGAAAAATTAGAACACAGTTTGAAATATTTCTCTGGATGAGTAATTGCAATGTGACTGTAACCAGTTAACAAGGATGTTGTTTATGTTGTTTACGTTGTTTTAATAACTATGTGTTCCGTTGTTTGCTTTGCCCCAATCGTCGATGTCTAGGGATGTCAAGTTATGCGGGAGTTTGCAAGACACCTGCATGAATAGCCTTAGATTGATAAGAAAATCGGAGTATACTGACAGTGAAATAAGTCGTAACACTTACAGCATTAAATCAGGGCAAATAGAAGCTGTGAACCACATTGTGTAAACGCGATAGATATACAAATTTATAGCTTATACAGCTAATCTAATTCTATTGTGTATAGTAAAGTGATAACGATGGATTTTTTCATGCACAGTTTTCTCTTCAAAGAAACCTTTGTAAAACTGTACTTGATTTTCGCTTCAATAATTTGCTGTACATTCGTATCATAATTTCTACTTTGCACAGAATCTGATTTACAAAATCACCAGATGTCTTGTCTTGTGATTCCTTCAATTTTTACCAAGAGACGCTATGAACTTGGACGTATATTCTATATAATACTGAACATTATCTTGCTATAATTTTCACGCGACCTATGTAGTATGTATTCACGAGAGAATTCTATTGACTACCACCTTTATCAAATGGACAGAAGTGCATCGATAAAATTTCATCGGTAAAATATAATATTTGTAAGTATTTTCTATATACAATATATAATGTTAACACTGTCATCTAAGTGAGCCTCATTAATGATGCACTGGTATTTTAGGTTGATTTAATTGCTGACAAAATAAAATATTCAGTGAAATCAAAAAGTCAGTATTATCAGAAAACTGGACATCATTAAGACCGAACGATATCACACTTCGTGCAATATCTGACAGAGGTGATCAATACGGTGATTGACAAGATAATATGGACAAATGTGAGTGACTTACCATTGCAAAGCCGGATAACAACGCCGATGTGCGACTCGAGGCCTTCAGCTTGGCCCGGCTCAAATATAACCTCCGCCACGAAAGCGCTTGGCTAGTGTGTTGGTTGGCCATCTGATCTACGTATGTATTTAAGAGCCACTCTTCGTAGGTTTTGGGGAGCTCTTGCATGGAGGAACCGGGATTATATTGTACATATAATGACTGTCAAATCTGATCCGATGTCATTCCGTTCCAAATTTCACACGTAAACACGTCTCGAAACAAACACAAACCGTAGCTCCGGCGCATGCCTTATTTCCGCATACTGTGTGACAGACAACTGTTATTATACAGAACAATATTAACGGCTTCTGATGGAAGGTGCCTCTCGTGATACTCAATTATACTCTAAGCGCGGCTGCCGTTATTGTCTTAAATATTCAAATTTACACTCTGGAACATTATAGTGTCATCAATAGTGGGATCGCAGTACGATCACAAAAGATAGTTCAAGGAAGCGATCTGTAAAGTTTGTTCAGTTCGCTTTTGATTTCCATCTAAATTGCGCAAAAATTTAACTTTGCAACCCATACAGACTTTTCATCAATCAATGCAGACAACTCTAAAATGCGTTTACATTTTAAGACAAAACAGTGCTGCAAAACAAACAATGTGATTTTGATTAAAGTACGCATATAAAATAAGTGGTCGGGAAAATAGTACCTTTCGTGACCTTTCTCTCTGGTCACGTGATCAAGTACCTGACCGCCCTGTGACGTCACAAGTTTTTGTACACAAAAAAGTTGACTGAATCGAAGAAATTGGTTCAGCGATACTCTTGAAAATTGGATATTACACACTCATTTGAAGTATATGCATCTTTCAACATGAGTGAGACGACCGACAACGGCCGTAGATTGGTAGGTTCAATGGTTTCCTTGAAGTTATCGCTGTTTGATGACAGGCTATCGCATGTGAAAGAGAGCAGCCATTTTGTAAGGCCAATCTCCAACTCCAGCGACAGTGATGAAAGAAATCGGAAGACAAAACCAAAGAAACAATGTAATGACCCCCTTACATGTTTTGAAATTAAAGTTGACAAATTCTCCTTACTTTTTACGCACAGAGAGGGTTGTGAAAGTCAGTTTTTACTGCGCACGGCTTGAATTTCGCTCCACTATGCACGTGAGCTGTTCACATTGGTTGCATTGAACGCCAAGCTTGTGAAATTTACGCATTTATATTAAACGATAATTCAGTAAATACTGGTCGTAATGTGAATGTGTAACCATCATTAGTTTCAGTGGGTTTTGCTCTTTCTTTTGATACCTCATATAGTTATTAACATTGTGTATTAACAATTTTGATACTCGCAAGGCATATGCAGAAAATGTGCGTTTTCCAGGGTCGCATATTGTCAAAACAAGGAGAAATTTTCGTAATGAGTCACGAATAACAATTAAAAATGTCATTTGGATGATATTTTTGTGTAATTTGATATTTGATTCAGCTTTTGCAATGTTTTGGTTAGCTTTTGGTATAGATTTGGTTTAGAGAAAGGAAGTATTTTGGAATTTGCAATCGTTTACCAGACCGTCTATAAGGAGCGACGTGGGCAGACGCACGTTCACCAAGAAATAGGAATATGTGGTGTTTTGTGACGTTTTAAAACCAGAAATGTATGTTTAAAGAACTTAAGCAGAAAGTACATTCCACAGAATTAGATTTCTATCACACTTTTTCATCTTTGATCTAAATCGGAAGCTAACTGGTAGAATCATCAATGTACATCAGTCTCTCTTAAGGCTTGTAAGAGTAACAAATAGACTTGTTTGGACACGTATTTACCATAATTTATGCTGTTATTATGATTAGACGTAAATTGCAACGATATTTTGATATTTTAAATGTTGTATATGTACTTTATGCAACGATGTATGATTACTAGTGATACGTGTGTCTGTTCATATGAGACGATATGTAGAGGAGGAAATGGGGCAGTCATATATCCACGATCTGGAGATGATTTGTCACGAATTCAAAAGTCGTAATATCTTAATGATATTTGTGTATTTTGTATCTAATGAGTTGGATCATATCTGTTTGGGAAGGGAGGGTTTGGAAGACGTTGCGATGATGTAACATGCCGCATCTATGCAGTGCAGTGCAGTGTAGGCTGGCAAACTGTCAGTCTGCGCATGTGCAATACTTGTCATCCATACTGCGAAAGTTTTAGAATAAGGCAAGGGTTAGGTGATTTTGCGTCGTATGTTTATTCATTGAATCAAATTCGCGTGAAGTTCGGGAAATACGACTGTTGTTTATTTGGTGTTTAATGTCAAACTGAGGTGGAGAATGATATTTTAACAAGTCCTCCAACCGTGTTGTTATCAGTATGGAGGATATGATGGTCCGGCAGGACTGCAGTGACTTACGTTAAGTAATTGACACACCGCCTTGTCAGATTAGGGTGTTACGCAAGTCAATCAAAACAAATATGTACAGGCTATTTCAGACTTGTTATCACGTGACGTTCAATGTCCGAGAGATCAACTGCCAGTCCAACTTTTCATATTTCTTATATCCAAACATTGCAACGTATTACTAGGAAATAAGTTGTACTCGGAGTTCAAAGCTTCCATTTTTTTGGCTGCCATTAGGTCATTTGTCAACACTTGCGTAGTGAAGCGCGTGAAGCAGAGCACGTCTCTCTTACCAACTCCTGTAGGTACATTACATAAAGCCCCGTTCAGGTCTCTAGAAGTACTCGTTCGCTTTACTTAGTATAACAGTGAAATATTGTGTGGAAACATGTAATGACGGTTTTAATTTTGTTTACATCGGGACCTCGACATGAATCTTTTGAAACCCTTCGATATTAATAGGCAACGAGTTTACAGTTAATGGGTTATCAGATTGTTCATATGCTTGGACGTTGGGAATATCGTACAAACTGTACTTAACATTTCGTTTCCAATTAGGTAATGATATAGAAACATGCCAATGAGAAACGAACAATTGTCACGAAAATAATGACGAATATCCTTTGCAAAGCCATACCAGAGACCATATATATAGAGAGAGAGAGGGGGGGTATATGGTCTCTGGTCATGCTAGCTCTATGGAGGATAAAAGTGTGTATACATCGGATGTATGTAGATATGAAGTGAAGCCCCCTTTGGTATACACATGCAGGGAGATTACAGTATGTGGAAGGGTAGAGGAAGTTGACTTTGTTCTGTCCCGCCATTCCACGGGTAATGATGCACTGTGCGTAACAATCGGCAGGTCATTGAACGGCCAGCCATGACGCATTGCCTCTTGTGGATAGTAGCTGACCTTGCCTGGTCTTATACAACACATTACCTATCATTAGGCGGGAGACCGTAGAATTCATTCGTCATTTAATTAAATTGCCGACGTCAGAATTTCACTGTATAGACACAAGCGGCCTGACTTCCCATGTTATTGTAAATCATTTATATTTAACCAGTCAGCGACGTCAGCTCGCTGAGAAACGCAACAGACATAGGTCGCTTGCTTCCCTTTTCTTCAGTAGATAATATTAATGTGTCCAGTGAATATTCGCCTACATACTTGAGTCATAGCTACGCTGTCCCTAAGTCAGGGAGCGTGTCAGGCACCCCGCCTGGCTTCATTGTCGAGCGTTCCCGATCTATTGAGTGAAACTCTATCGGGGAAGGTCAACCATTTCTTTATGAAACGATGGCAAGTATCAATGCATTGGATAGCTGGTTTTCAAAACAGTCTTTGCAATATTTAAGTACTTAATCTGATGACTGTTTGTAAAGGTTTTTCGAAATTGTCTAAGTAAATATGATTTCGGTGTGGACCTGTGAGGTGATATTTTCATAATGAAAATGCATATGGCTTCTATTGTTAATAGTGTTGAACTGGACACGTATACATTGATTTCTTTTTCATTTGATTGTATTTCTTCTCAGAAGTTTTTTTTTCTTAATCTGTAGTAAACATGAAGACATTAAGTGTGTCAAGGTGGACACAATTTATAGGTAAAAACGGCCGATGTGACTTAAATTAAACGCACTTTAATGTAACAAAGTAGCGGGTTTCATTGTACGCCGTGTTAACGATGTCATGGTGTTATATTTAACGTATTATGAGTTGTTACTTGTTTTTCCGTTTCGTCATGCGTCGACTTCCCTGAAACGTCTATCAAACAATAATACATCTGATTATTATGAGTCCCGTTCCGACAGTCTCCGTGAATGTTGGCGGTGTATCAGCCTGCCCGTGTGTGGAGCTCCAGCACGGGTCGCTCCGGCAGCAAATCATCGATATATCGGTCATTCAAGTGATAAAATTGACATACGCGAAATTAAACAAGATATGCTACTTATGCTACTTCGTGCGTATGTTTCTCGACAGGACTAACTGTGTGTGACCCGTGTTTGTCAGATTTCAATAGTTGAGAAATGTATTTTGTGTGTAAGCAAGTCGTGCTTGATTGGGAGGTTCACAGTAGAATGAGGTCACGAGCGTTCCTCCCCTCCTCCCGAGGCAGAATGCTGTAGTTCATATCTGAGAAAATTGGGACCTTTTAAGAGTTACGTTTTTAGTCGACCTGGTGGATTCAATAGACATGGCTTGCGATGCAGACCATGATAGTTTTCCTCCCCACCGACGTTGTTGATAACGGCTAAAAACAAAACAGCTATGTCAAAACCACCAGTATGACCAAAACGTAAAATACTATTTATTTTAAAGCCTTAGGACTGTTCTTTCTGTCATGCCATGATATATTCAAAACTGTGACTTTGGTATTTTTAGGAGAGCTTGTGAGATTATCAATGTTATATTTCTTCAGCTGGTTACTTCAGACACACAGCGCTTCAGGCCTTATGTTGAGTAAACTACAAACAGTATTGGTAAGGATATAGTTGCGTGTTTGAAGTCGTGCCTCCCAGCTGCGTCGTTGACGACATTCCACGTATCTGCAACCACACCGTGATACACAGCATGTCCTCCTAATGTTGCCATGGCTTACGTTATCTACCTTTTGTTTTATTATATTCAGGTACAGTTAATATTGTTTTAAATACAGTGCCCTCTAGCACACCGACCCCCGTGTATGTATTGCGGTAAGCACGCTGCTCATCCTGGTCATATAGATTGTCTTCATGGGTTGAAATAAGAGGCCTCACATCGGTACCAGCAATGCGTGATCGCTTATTGATCGTATTCCCCCGGAGATGCTGCTTGTTCGATTTTGATATCAGTTAGTTAATGATACCATATATCGGTATTCCCTCCAACCATACTCACTGCTGTGATGTGCACGTGCTGTTAGCCCACACCATCTGTCACGGGGAGCCATGCGACCCTACACATGGAAATATGACAACTGGCCTTGTAGATTTTATATGAGGTTAATTGAGAGAGCTTGTGTGGCTATCTGTGGTTCTGCTCCTCCGCGGACATGAATACTGTGAACGAGATGGGAATATATTATACATCCCGAAGGCTTGTTAATTGCACATATGCGTATTGTTCTGGGCAGATTTGCGGTTAAAGTCCCCACAAACCTGCAGACCAATCGATTAGTTAGCAGTCACTGTAGACATGCGACGATGTTTGATTTGCATCGTGATGTCGCGGTCGTCGTAGGGCCCTGACTGCATGGACATGTTTTAACATCTGTCCTCATTCCTTGTTACAGCGTGTGCGATTTGGTTTCTAGTCCCACGTGATTAATACGTGTTAGAACCGCAACCAAAACAAGTGACCAGGGGGATTGGGTTTGGGGGCTGTGGTATTGGTGTTGTGTGGCAGTGAGAGAGGAATTGTATAAAGATATAAAATATTGTTCCAACAACCCCAGTAGTCACACGCAATGTTGCCGTTTCTCAGGCTGTAAGTGTTCATACATGATATTTAAACATCAGAAAGGTGTTGGATTGGGTGATGGGATAGCAGAGGGATTGACCAGATTGTAGGTTTCACAATTTCTCCGAGAACAAATTAAATTGAATGTTGGTTTCACAGTTTGGAGAATAGTTTGAACAAAATGTAGGCGTCACATATTTTCCGTGAACAAGTTGAGCGAAATGGTTTCACAGTTAGAACAGTCTGAACAATATGTAGCTCAGAGCAAGTGACATGTTTAACAAGTTTCCTAGGCTACTCGTTTTCTAAGGAATGTTTGATAATCTACCTGTCCCATGTTTCAGTGTTTATGCTTTTGTCTTGAAATGTAAGTTGAAAATAAAAAAATCTGGAGTTCAGCGTCTACTGGACCGAGGAGTATCTGCATTTAGAGACCTCACAATGTATGCTTTGTGTTAGCCCTCGGGATAGGTTTTCACTGAAGGTTTGGGCAAATCCATACAGGCCAAATACAAAAAAATATTGTGGTTCCGATTACACCTCTATAAAATATAGGGTAGGTAGGTAGGAATTTTTTAGTTTTTTAGATATATTTTTTAGAAGGAAAGTACAAACTAATAACACATGTATCAATGTGTACTTGTTTATTCAATCAAGCTTGCAGCCCACATGTCGACTTTCTCTATCAGAATGATGGATATCTGTCGGTGCCGGGAAATAACAATGGAATCTGAAAGCTTATTTTATTCAGTCCACTTAAAAAAGATAGGGTCGGCACCAGAATTCAAGGGTCGGTCGGGTAATCGGAACCACACACAAAAAAAATTAGGCCCTACTCAACCTTTTCCTTTTCTTTCGTATTTTTTATTCGGTTAATGAAAAATTCGGTTCGTTCTTCCTTCTGACAACAAGTCAAATGATGTTAAAGCTCTACGAATGCTATGGAAATGATTGGATTTTGAACCGGAATACCATAGACTTGGCTTTGCGGCAGTTTGTAATCTCCATACACTTCCAAACTGATCAAGGTGTGTTCGAAGCTTGCGACCTAGCTGGCGTTGGGAGTAATCTCCCTTTCATTTTACGTTGCTCCCGAAGCAAGACTCTTACTACTCTTACTCATGAATATTTCACCCTTTCTCAAAAACACCAATGCTGTGTACTAAATATTCAGTCTTTAACAAAAATGTCTCCGCTTTACGGCAACGAAGGGGATGTGTTTACTCTCATATCTTTAAGATAGCACATGCTGTAGAGGTTGCCGTGAATGAAAATGTCAGCGATATTACAATGGAAACCCAATCGTACACTGAAACAGCCTGTGAACAGTGTTTCTCATGTGCACAGATACATGAAGATCCCAAGAATCTATTTTTCGTTTTGAGTGTGAAATATTGTGCTACAGTCCGGGTACCTACTGAACCACTATGGCCGCACACCACGAAGAAAGGGAAGGTTTCACACTCCCAGAAGTCTCACTGAAATCCCGTCAGGCGGCTGTGACTATGCGAGAGAGGTAAGTACGTGTAGATGGCGACTGCCAGTTTCCCATGGGTATAAGGTACCAGGGCATGGTCCCGCCGGGTCTCCTCAGCGCCACACGGAAATGATGTTATGGATGATTGAATTCCAGGCAAACACATTTTTTTCCTGTTCACTAGAATTTGAAAGTGTCTTAATTGTTGTAATGGTTGCCTTATCCCTCCATCAACTTTGAGGATGTTGGAAACGTGGAAAAGACAACTCATTGTGTCAGATGAATATTGGTAATAACATATTTTAAAAACTTGAAACTGGTTTTACCGTTTAATGAAGTGTAATTTTGACGTTTCAATTAATTCACACGCTCTTGGAATCTCTTAACACGTCGACATGTTCAATACAGAATAGATGTTTGATCAGCATTCTAGAAGTTGTGGGTGGGGGGTAGCCTAGTGGTTAAAGCGTTTGCTCGTCACACGGAAGGTCCGGATTCCATTCCCAACAGGGATACAATATGTGAAGCCCATTTCTGGTGTCCCCCGGTCGTAATGTTGCTGGAATATTGCTAGAAGCGGCGTAAAACAATACTCACTCACTCACTCACTCACTGTAGAAGTTGGTGAGTCAAACATGAAGTATGCGACTTCATGGTTAACATCGTCTTGTGTAGAGCGACGTGTCGGTGTCGAGTCTTACACCGTCGTCAGACTTCTAGCTTGATAGCGGTCAGTCTACATCATAACGTCGCCGCTCTATGCGGTAGATACAAAGTCGTTATCCATAAAGTCGTATGCTTAATTACTGTATAGCTGTTTTATACACATATATAGTAGTAAATATACATACACTAGGGAACACATTGGTGTGAATGCTGAAGCCTAATGCTTGGAGTGGAGATATGTTCCATGATATATATATGTCTAATTACTCTATATACATTTTGTGTATGCGAACGAATTACTTATTTTTAGGCCACAATTAAATTTCACGATTCGTCATCAATAATTATGAACACCGGATGCGTGTAACCAAACAATGGTCTACATTCCGTTTTCATTCCCACGGCATCGTGATCAGCCGACCTTTACCTATCCCTTTCTCAGCTTCAATCGCCTTATCTTATCCCTTACTCAGCTTCAATCGCCTTTACTTATCCCTTTCTCAGCTTCAATCGCCTTTACTTATCCCTTTCTCTGCTTCAATGCCTTTACTTATCCCTTTCTCTGCTTCAATCGCCTTTACTTATCCCTTTTATCAGCTTCAATCGCCTTTACTTATCCCTTTCTCAGCTTCAATCGCCTTTACTTATCCCTTTCTCAGCTTCAATCGCCTTATCTTATCCCTTTTTCAGCTTCAATCGCCTTTACTTATCCCTTTCTCTGCTTCAATGCCTTTACTTATCCCTTTCTCTGCTTCAATCGCCTTTACTTATCCCTTTCTCTGCTTCAATCGCCTTTACTTATCCCTTTTATCAGCTTCAATCGCCTATATTTATTCACTTCTCAGCTCTAGCTTGGGTTTGAGTTTTTATTCACGTACAGAGGCCTCCGCCCACCTGCCATTATACAGACAGGGCATGATAACTACTGGCTGGCAGGGTCGCTGACAACAAACATGACTAAATTATACATTGACAGCAGGGCTCCAGATAGTTTTTTCATGATCAGGAGTAGTACTCCTTATGTTTTCAATATGGGAGTACTGGAAAACAATAAGAGAACATTTAGAGTACTGGAGTTTGGAGTTTGGAACATATGATAATAATGTGGATTAAGACTGGAGCGCACACTAAACAAAAGTGGAATTCATCCTCAACAATTGGGATAATACACAATGGGCATAACCCTTCATGTCTTGGTAGTTTGTGATATCTGCCCGTTTTGACTAGAAGACTGAATTGATCCGAGGAATTTTACAATATTCATTCTGTCGATTTTAACATCAATTAATCTAATGCAAGTGTAATATTGGAAGAAAACTATTCCAGCTTTGAACGACATTTGATATTTTCGTTGTTTACTTGATTCTCAATGTCGATACATCTTTGTTTGAAATGGTGTAGGAATGCATCAAATCTTTAAACACCAGCTTTTCACAGCTCTAGCCGTCTATACCCATTGCCGTTCGGAAATAAGTGATTGAGGTCTTCCCAATACAATTCTTCTTTCTATTTTTTCGAAGTACATAACACTATTTGGCGGACTAAATATTTGCTCGAATTCAGACAGAATTGCTTACAGTATGTATGTCTTGTGGTACTGAATTTGAGTCAAATCCGCATCTTAAAGTCAGAAAATATTGGGAGTTTATCGCAGCATAGCTGAGATGCAGTAGCTGTGACGGCTTCAATACATTAGTAAAACTAATGCGTTGTTTCACGATTCACAATTCATAGTATAAATATGATAGGAAGGCCGTGCTAGACAGGCTTGTTGATTTATGCCTCGGATATTCTCCCAGCAAATGTTTATCTGGAAAAAGTACCCAGGTTAAAAGCAATTATATTTATCGACAGGAAAAAAGAGATATCCCCCGAACTGAACTCAACCAGGCGTGACTTGTAAATGTCGTTTTTCTCCCTTAACGAAGCGTTTGATTATAATACCGGTCAGGAAATGATTGTGACGAGAACGCGACCATGCCTGGACTGCTGGCACCGGACTTGACACAGGCTATTATGACAAACTTTCTTGCATCTGTCGCTCTTTCTTCCCATAGTACCGTATCCAAGGTCAGGGTTGTAGCTGGCGTTATCGAGCCCCTACCATGAGTAATGCATTAGGTTATATGACACCCCGGCACAATGGACGTTCGAGTGAGAAACGAGGTCACGTGATGAGTCGTTGTTTGAGGAACGGACTTCAGATAAGGCGAACATGTGCGTTGGTCGATTGGGGGCGGCACCTCGACAAATAGTAACTGCTTCTTAAAACAATCACGTTTGGAGTATTAGCAATATTGGGTCTGAAATGACCAAACGATCAGAGGCCGTAAAACGATTAACATGAATCACAGGCGCCTGAGTTTTATATTTTGATTTCTTAAACGAAGCTGGGCTGGTCGTGGTGCTTGTCCAGACAGAAATGGGAAACGAATTGGATGATCCAAATGTTATTTACATTATTCTTCTAATTTCAAATCTCTTACCACGGGTGATGAATAGCATATTAGCGGCGGGGCATTTTGTCTTTTGTTGGGTAAACGTCGCCAATACGTTGATAAAGCATCTCCATGTAGATTTCTGACGAGTTTCTTGAGGGGTATATAGAAGTTGGTATTCAAGTATAAGACAAAATATTATGGATGTCAACTTCTTCTTTATTGTATACACAACGTTCTGGGCTATTCTTTGTCCCTTCGCCCTGACGAACGTTTGGCATGATAATATATTTTGAGAATATTTCAGATAATATATTTCTGGTGTGATAATACATATAAAGAATATTTCTCGCTGTTGAATAAGTATGGGAAATGGAGTGTTTGTTTCCAAACATGTAAAAATCTGGTGCAGTCCTTCGTTCGTGTATTCAGTGTGCTGTTCAGTCAACGCCCTTCACGTGCCTTAATTTACAATTAGCTTTGAAATCCACCCAGGACGCGGAATCCGTTCTCCCTACACAACACTCGCTTTGTTATATAACAAAGTTATGGAATGGCAAGTGATTCTTAATTATTATGATTAAAATAGTAGTGCATTGGTGTGATGAAGAGTTCGCTTGTCACGCCGAGGACAAGGGTTCCCGACATGTATACATAAAGGCTGTCATCACAGCTAGCGCTTTTCTGTAACCTACAGGAAAAATTAAGGTTTGTCCCGGACGGAGGCGAGTGGTCACGGATGGGGTTCAGTGTGTTAAGCCCATTGGTATCACCCCCTGCCGTGAAATTGCCGACAAATATAGCTGACTGTGCCCTACACTGTAACCCCATATGTCTGGTTGTGCTATTGTCGTAACAACTACTACTTGTCGGCTGACGAGGTTCAACGAACACACCTTGACGAGCCTGGATCAGATACCCTACATCCACCCAATAGTTGTTGAATTAATACTAAAGTATAGAAATAATCAGGAATATTTAAGAGCGGCGACAGGGCATGTATTTTTATTCAACGGGGATTTTTTGTTCCAACACCTGGGCTGTTTTGACATGGTCGAGCGATAAGGGACTATTTCCTGTATACTGATTAGGTTAGGCCGTTGTACAGGGGGCATTTGGGGGATGGAGGGGATTTAGAGACAACTCTATTTCTGACAGTTCCAATACGCATTCTCTCAACACTGTTAGGACCAACACATCCTGATTTCAAGACATCCATTGTATATTTCTTTTTAGTGTAAATATCGATGCTATTGAACTGTTTCCAGTACTCTTTATATTTTTTTATCAAACACATTCTCCTTCAGCAGGTTTAAGATAGAGACAGCCACATTCCATGTTGTGTTTGGGTTTGGTTTTCTACTAGGCCCAGTTCAGTATGTACTATTTTTGCGATTTACACAATTGTGCTACGTTACAAAATGCCTTTTTCAGAACGCGATTGTGTTGTGGTCACTACAAAATGCATTCATTCTGTTTAAAAAACGGAAGTAAAATGGAAACCGAAAAACTGACTTTCGGAAGAAGGTTTTGTTGTATTGTGTTGAAAGTGGAGGTACGGATCATGTCCCGGATCGTTACAGCACTGGTCTCAATTGTCGCTTCCGGGTCTGCTTTAAATATTAAACAAATCAGGAAATTGGGGCAATGAAACATATTGAGAAAGTGTCCTGTACTTTGGTAGGGTAGCCAAGTGGTAAGAGCTTTCACTGGTCCCCCCAAACCAGGGTTCGATTTCCAACAGGGGTATCTGTAATGTATGAAGCTCATTTCTGGTGTCCCCCGGCGTGATATTGCTGGAATATTGCTAATTGCGGCGTAAAGCCAGACTCACTCATTTGGAATTGTTTACCTCGTGTAATAGCCGACTTGCTATATACTTGGTATTTCTGTCGTAGTATGACGTTAGACGTAGTGAGCCGACTGCACTGACCC